GACCATCGGTGGACACGTGCTTTCTGCAGGGACTGGCCCCCGACTCACCCGTGCCAGCTGCGGGGCCCGTTTCCCCACAGCTGAGAAGGACGAGTTGGGGTCCCCATCTCCTTCAAGGTTATGGGAACCAAGGCTCACTGAGCCGTCCCTTCCCTGCCTCTGAGCACAGGGCCTGGGGGACGGGCTCCCCAAAGCCCGGCTGGTTAGAGGTTGGCGAGGGGCTTCCCCCGGGGGATGCCCCCATCTGGCCTGGTCCCAGGGCCTTGAGGCACGAGACCAGTGACCCCGAGTTCCTGCCCACGTCGGGACAGTGGCTGCTTGCTCCCCTTTCTAAGGCAAGGAGGGCTGAGGCCACGTGGGTGCCACAGCCCTGCCTGGCGTGACCCAGCAGCAAGGTCGTTCCTTCAGTGTCTGACGGGGATCGTCTCCAACTGAAGCAGAGTGGAACGTGCCCCCCAGACCCCGGGGCCACACCCAACCTCCCCGGTCACCAGCCCCAGACCACCCACAGCCCCACACAGACACCCTGCCCCATCTGGAAATCATTTCATTTGGTTTTTTAGACTTTTGTAGGTGGGGAAAAAAATCTTTTATTCTCATGGAATTGGTCTGGTGGCAAGATCGCATGTTTTTTAAATAAACGTTTTATTTTAGAATAATCTCAGGTTTGCGGAAGTGCGGAGAGCGCAGCGTCTCTGGCGCCCCACGCCCGCTGCCCTAGTTGCCGGTGACATTTGTGACTCCACACATTTGTCACAAGGAAAGAGCCTGGGAAACAACCCGGCACCCAGCTGGGCCCGGCAGTCCCCAGGGGGCTGTGTCAGTGCCCGAGTCTCCATCTTTGCCCCCCACCCCTCTGCCTCGTCTCCCGCCTCGGGGGCGATGGTCCATTATTCCCCAGACGACGGGAGGGAGGGCACGAGGGTGGACTCAGCGGCTGGCCTGGGCCCAGGCTCTCGTAGGGATGGGGCTTGGCCATGCCTGGGGACAATCGTGGTGATCCCGCCTGGAGCTGCTGCTGGCGTGGAGTGGATGGAGGCCAGGGATGCCGCCCGGTGTGCCGAGGTGTCCAGGATGAGCCTCCCCACGTGTCCTCACCGCAGCAGGCAGAGGTGGGAGGCAGGTCCCGAACTCCCCCCGGACACTGCTCACCTCCCAGCCCTGACCTCAGATGATCCCAGGAGGCTGGCACAGGGCTTGGGGCTGGCCAGCTAGGCGCATCTGACCAAGGAGCCCCCTCTCCACACTGCAAATCCCGGCCCACCCTGACCAGCCTGCTCCAGAATGCCCAGTCGCAGTGCAGCGCCCAGCACCGCCATCCCTGGCCCAGCCTTTACTAGACATCACAAGTAGACAGCAGATGGCCAGAGCCGTCTTAGAATCCACTGGGCAGCCTCTCGCGTGGGTCCCTGGCCAGCTCCACCGCCGATCGGTACAGGACAAGCCACTGTGGGCAGCGCTGAGTTGGGGTGGACCTGGGAGGCCCTTTTTGTATTTTTGAGACGAGGTTTCACGCACTCAGGGTGGAGTGCAGTGGCGTGATGGCAGCTTTCCATATCCTCAACGTCAGAAGGCACCTCTGAGCCTAGAGCCGTGTTTGGGAAAGGCCGGGTTCTGTAGTGACGGGCCAGGTCGTGCTGTGTGGCTGCCACAGCCCCCCACCCCTCCGGACCCACACCAGCTCTATGTGACAGCATTTAGTTGCATTTGGCTGCTCGGAACACAGGCTCACAGAAGCCGGTGTTTTCCAGCCCAGAAAGTGGCAGAGCCAGTATCAGAAGCTGGGTTTCTTTTCTTTTTTTTTTTTTTTTTGAGACGGAGTTTCACTCTTGTTGCCCAGGCTGGAGTGCAATGGCGCGATCTCGGCTCACCGCAACCTCTGCCTCCCGGGTTCAAGCAATTCTCCTGCCTCAGCCTCCTGAGTAGCTGGGATTACAGGCACGCGCCACCATGCCCAGCTAATTTTTTTTTGTATTTTTAGTAGAGACGGGGTTTCACCATGTTGACCAGGATGGTCTCGATCTCTTGACCTTGTGATCCACCCGCCTCGGCCTCCCAAAGTGCTGGGATTATAGGCATGAGCCACCACGCCCGGCCGAAGCTGGGTTTCTTTACCTTGGAGCATCCCACTTCCGGACCACCGCGCCGTCCCAGCCTCAGTTTCCCCACCTGCCCCTGAGAGGTCCCCCACCCCCAGCATCCTGGTTCCCCCTCCTCTCGTGCCTTTTGGGCCCCAAGGGAGATGGCTGTCCCCCAACTGGCAAGGCACATGTTTTAACAGGCGCCCCAGTCTGGAGGGGGCAGAGCTGGGGCCCTGGGACCCCCGAAGGCTCACAGGCATTAGAGCTGAGAAGACGGGCTGCTGGCCGAGGAGGGCGATGGCTCCTCGCCCTCCTTGCAGAGGACGGGGCAGCAGGTGTCCCAGGGCAGGGGCACACAGGGCTCAGGCCAAGCTAAGGCGCCGGGTCCCAGGGGAGAGGGCACCAGGGAGGCACGGAGGGCACGTGAGCTGGGGAGGGCCTCCGAGCTGGGTGTCGGGTCACCCTGCAGGGAGACTGGAGGCCAGAGGTACGCTCCGCACGCACCGCCCCCCCAGCTACCCCAGGGCTCCCCATCCCGCCCCCTCCCCCCACCCCATCCACCCGGTGTCCTGGAAGCTTCCCCCGCCCCCACCCCAGCTTCCTGACTTGGGCTGTGTCCAGAGCTAAGAATAGACACTCCCTGCCCGGCCCCTGCCGGAAGCCACAGCCGTGGGGGGCACATCCTGAGCCTGGCCTCCGTTCCCACTATCTGCCCCCAACTCCTCCCACCGGAGCCTCCTGTGCTCCCATCGAACCTGAGGTGCTGGCGGGGACCAAGACAGGGAGACCTCCGACCACCAGCCTCGGACCACAGGGAAGCCCAGCACTCGTGTCCGAATCCCACACGGCAAGGCATCATTCCCCCTTTGGGCCTCAGTTTCCCCATCTCTAAAATGAGCGGCTTTGTAAAGATCTGGTGAGACTTACGCCAAGTAGCGAGTGTCCTCTGAAACCCGACCAGGCTGTTTCCCCAAAGAGACATTGCCCTTGTCATCTCCGGGCCGGGGACAGAGGAAGTCGGGACAGGACAGCCTTCCCCCACCTCTCACTGCCCCCTCTTCTGGAGCCCCAGCCCCACATCCTCGTCCCCCCGCCCACATCTGCCCTCCTTGCAGTTAGTATAGCAAGGACCTCACACTCTTTTGCCTCCAAAGCTTTATACAAGCAATTCCTGTCACTGCCACATATCCCAGACCTAGAGAGCTCCTGTTCATCCCACAAAACCCCACTTCGTATGCCCTCTCCTCAGGAGATGCCTTTCTTTTTTTTTTTTTTTTTTTTGAGACGGAGTTTCGCTCTTGTTACCCAGGCTGGAGTGCAATGGCGCGATCTCGGCTCACCGCAACCTCCGCCTCCTGGGTTCAGGCAATTCTCCTGCCTCAGCCTCCTGAGTAGCTGGGATTACAGGCACGCGCCACCATGCCCAGCTAATTTTTGTATTTTTAGTAGAGACGGGGTTTCACCATGTTGACCAGGATGGTCTCGATCTCTTGACCTCGTGATCCACCCGCCTCGGCCTCCCAAAGTGCTGGGATTACAGGCTTGAGCCACCGCGCCCGGCCAGGAGATGCCTTTCTAGCTCACCTCTGGGCTCTCCTAGGCCCTGTCACTTCCTCTGGCCCAGCCCTGACCCCAGGGGGCTGGGACAGGCTGTATCCAGTTCTTTCTCCAGCCTAGGGCATCCCCAAGGGCTGTCCTGGCTTCAGTCTCACTTGGAGCTCAGAACTGTCCCACTGTGTAAGCTGGGACACAGAGCAGGGGTTGAGGAGCGTAACACTTGGAGATCAGGTTGGCTTCAAGGAGGAGTGGCCTTGGAGCCAGGGTTTTGTCAGATGTATAGGAGTTGGATGACCTCCTTGCCAGGGAAGAGAGAAGCTGTGTGAACCGGCTGGTGAGTCAACGGGACAGACCCTAGGGAGGGAGGCTGGGTGTGGCCAAAGGCCAGGAGGAGGAAGGATGGTGGGCGGGGTCGCGGGGGAAGGGGCTTCCGGACTCTGCTCACGGCAGGGCCGGGGCGGGGGCTGGAATCCATCCCCTTCACTCACAGCCTGGCCCAGGGGATGGGGCGAGGTGGAGTCAGGGCCAGGCCAGACTGTCCGGTCCCACTCCAGCCCTAACTCAGGTTCCTGTCTTGAGGCCCAGGGTCCCCCGTCCGCAAAGACACGGTCCCAGGCCCTGCATCCGGCGCCTTCTCAGCCATTCCGATGGGGCTCCGTCCCTCCTCCCCCAGCCCACGCTGGGGGACAGGCAGGAAAGAGTGCCCATCCCCCACTGCAGCCTCCTGGCCCCGGACCCCTCCTCCTCCTCCAAAGCCACCTCCCAGGCTCCTCCTCCAAAGGCCTTCCCGTGAAATGCCATCACCGCAGCCCTCCTGGCTCACCTGCTCTGAGACCCCCTTTCTCATTCTGCCTGTGGAGTCGGGTACAGCCCCATCCCTCTGTCCTCCCACTGCACCCCTGGAAAGGGCCTCAGATATGCCCTGCATGTATTAAGCACCTACAGTGTGCTGGCCTCCAGTGCACACAGTGAACTGGCTTGCAGTTTTGGGGTCTGGGCGCCCCGGGGAGCCCATCCGTCGGGACCTGCCCCGCCCCCTCCAGGCCTTGGGTGCTGCCCAGATGGTGAATAATGCGGGTCTGGCAGCGGGAGCGCCGGGAAGAGGCCTGGCAGGGCGGCCGGCGGCTGGAGGGGCTGAGGCTCCCAAGGAGGCGCCCCTGCCACCCCCACTTGGGCCACCGCATCCCTGCCACCTGCGGCCCGGAGGGGTCCCAACGAGTGCTGCCTTCCCCAGGAGGCCGCGGGGTGTCCCGGCGTGCTGGGGGCACCCACTGAGCCCAAGTCAGCCAGGCCCGGACCCGAGGGGCGTGGCCAGCATGGGGTGGGCGGGGCCGATGAGAGACAGCGAGAGACAAAGAGAGACAGGACGCAGAGAGACAGGGCGGAGAGACAGCTGCGGGCTGCCCGCGGCCCCCACCCGCCCCGGCTCGGCTTAGCCCCCGCGGACCCCTCCAGGCCGCGCCCCCCGGGCGTCCTGTGCCACCACGCCCTCCATCTGCGTCCCGCGGCGACGCGCCAGCGCCAGGGTCCTCTGCCGGGCCCGCCCCTGGCCGTGACTCAGTTTCCCCGGAAGGCCCCACAGAAGCCTGGCTTTCCCCTCCCTCCGCCCGTCCCCGCGCCTGGCCCCAGCCTGGGCGCCCGCAGATCTGCCTGCTCAGCTCCGGACGGCGCCGGGACCCCCTGCGCGCAGGACCCAGCCAGGTGGGGGCCCCGCAGAGCAAGGGAGTCTCCGCAGGTGAGGGGGCCCCGCGGCTCCGCGCTCCGGACGGGACGCGCCGCTCTGGTGTGAGCCGGGCTGCCGGGCGCATCCGGCGCTGGCCCTGCCCTGCTGTGGGTGTGTGCCAAGGCCCGCCGTGACAACCGCCAGGTGCCAGGTGTCCCCTGTGTGGTCCAGCGGGTGGCACGGTGCCCCAGGCCTGCACCGGGCGCCCAGGCGGCTGGGTCTGGGTGCCGCCCAGGCCGATTCTGTGAGGGGGGCTCTGTGGTCTCTGTGGGGCCACTTGGCTGTGAATGGGCGGGGGCCTGCAGCCGGGGAGGGGGCCGGGCCCTGGGTGTGGCGGGGAGTGAGTGGTCTGCGCAGCTGAACCTTGTGTTGGGGAGGGAACCGCGCGTAGCTCTGGTTGTGTGTCTGTGTCTGCCTGTCTGGTGGCTGTGTGTGTGTGACCGTGTGTTCGTTTGTTTCTGCCTCAGAGTCTGTGACTGTTTACCATTGTGTTCATCTGTGTGTCTTTCTGTGTGTGTGTGTATGTCTGTGCATCTGTTGTTTCTGCCTGTGTGTCTGTGTGTTTTTGTGTGTCACATTTCTGCCCGTGTCTGTGTGTGTGTCTGCGTGTGTGTCTGGGTCTGTGTGTGGCTGTCTGTGAATGTGTCTGTGTGTGTCTGTGTGTGTGTCTGTGTCTGGCTGTGTCTGTGTGTTTCTCTGTGTGTGTTTCTGTGTGTGTCTGTGTGTGTCTGGCTGTGTGTGTGGCTGTGCGTGTATGTGTGTGCATCTGTGTGTGTCTGTGTGTCTCTGTGTGTGTGTATGTGTGTCTGCGTGTGTCTGGCTGTGTCTGACTGTGTGTGTATGGCTGTGTGTGTGTGTGTGCATCTGTGTGTGTCTGTGTGTCTCTGTGTGTGTGTATGTGTGTCTGTGTGTGTCTGGCTGTGTCTGACTCTGTGTGTGTGGCTGTGTGTGTGTGTGTGTGCATCTGTGTGTGTCTGTGTGTCTCTGTGTGTGTGTATGTGTGTCTGCGTGTGTCTGGCTGTGTCTGTGACCGTGTGTGTGTGGCTGTGTGTGTGTGTGTGTGCATCTGTGTGTGTCTGTGTCTGTGTCTCTGTGTGTGTGTATGTGTGTCTGTGTGTGTGTCTGTGAATGTGTGTCTGTGTGTGTGTCTGTGAATGTGTATGTGTGGCTGTGTGTATCTGTGTGTGTCTGTGTGTCTGTGTGTGTGTCTGTGTGTGTCTGTGTGTGTGTGGGGGGGCTGTGAATATGTGTGTGTCTGTGTGTCTGTGTGTCTGTGTCTGTGTCTGTGTGTGTCTGTGTGTGTGCACGTCTGGCTGTCTGTGTGTCTTTGGTGCGGCGGCCTGAGGTTCATGTCGTTGGAATCACCGTAACCCGTGGTCCATCAGCCACCAGCTGCCCAGCCTGGGTCCCGCCCCCCAGCCCCCTGCAGGCCCCTGTGTGAAGAAGGCTCCCTGCGTGCTCCCTGGGGGCGTGCCCACTGGAGAGATGGGGAAACCGAGGCTCACAGGGTGGCCTGGCTGGCTGGGAAGCCCCCGCCCTGCACCCTCTGGACTGGGGACCCTGTTGGTGTCACAAACAGGAAATGTTCCCGGAAACGGAGCTCTGTGGTGAAGGGCGGTGGGCCCCGCAGGGTGTGGAGTGTGTCTGCCCCGGCGGTGCGGGGTCCACGCTCAGGGCCTTCACACCCACAGCAGGCATGGGAGGGTCTGGCCTGGCCCCTGACGTTTCAGGCCCAGAAGAACCCTGTGGATTCAAGGTCTGAGGCCGACCGGGGTGACAGGGAGGCTCGGGGCTCCTGCCCGGCTGCCTGGGCACCCTGCAGGGAGGTGAGCTGTGAGGTCAGCGCAGGCGCCCTGCAGAGGTGAGAGCCAGGCAGGCCTGGGCTAAGCGTGCGTGGGGATCGGAATCTCACCCCATTGCACAGAGTGGGGAAACTGAGGCCCGGCAAGGTGGAGCCCCAGCCTGGCAGTGGCAGATCGCAGACTAGGGCCTCCAAGCCTGTGTAGCGGGGGCTGGGGCGGGCCAGGCCGTGGGACAGGCAGGCAGTGCCCGCCGGCAGGGTGGGGGGTGAGGAGAGGGGACTTGCTGAGAAATGGATGGATGCTGAGGGGACACGCTCCAGTGGGGGGGAGGAGGAGGGCGGGGCTTTGAGGATGGAGGACAAGCTGGCAGCCACGCATGGGTGAGCCAGGCCGGGTGCCCACGCCCAGCCTAGCACCCAGGCCTCAGGAAACAGTGACAGAGCCCTCCCGTCCCACTCCCCGCAGGCATGGCGGGTCCCCTGGCAGGGGCGGCATCCGGGGACAGAGAACTCACCATCTGCCTTCCAGAAAGCAGCCAGGAGCTAGGGCTGAGATTTCTGGAACCCGGGACCCAGCCAAACTCCCATCAGAGTTACAGAACATCAGCCTCTGGGGATTCTAGAATAGTGAGGCCTCCTGGATTCCAGAACTGGAAGCTCGTTAGAATTCCAGAACCCTGGGCCAGAGCTCGGTTCTCAGGCTGCAAAATTCTGGACTTACTCAGCGTGGAAGAGGGCTCTTGGGTCCACACCTCCCCCCAGACACAGGGACCGTCATTTTCCCAAAACCGCATAGTGCTGCTGTAGTCCCCTGCTTCGTGGGGGCCCTGCCACCCCTCCTGGCCAACGTGGGAGGGAAGGGAGGCTGTCAGGTCCCCTGTCGGCCTCCTTGCCTGGAGAACCTGAGACAGTTGCTCTCACCTGAACCCAGCATGGGGAGTGGAGGCGGGGGGACTGGAAACCGCCATCTATGGCCAGAAGGACTCAGTATCAGTTTCCAGACTCCCGGGGCCAAGAGCCTTTGCGCCCAGCAGAGAGAGGTGTGTGACCTCCAGTGAGTAGAGTGCAGTGTGGTCAAGGAGACCATGAGACCCAGCAGGGACTGGAGGCTACTCCGGGCAGAGGCTGTGGCCGGGGCGGTGGCCGCAGGGACAGCTGACGTCCCAGGAATGTTCAGAAACACGTACCAGCTCTCAAGGGAGGACCGCCCTGTCCAGGGGAAATCCCAATCCCAGGCGGCAAAGCAGCACGGGGTGGAGGGCGATGATTGCCAGAGGCCGCGAGGAGCACCCCCCACACCGCCTCATCGGCGCTCCAGGCCTCAGTTTCCCCTCTGGAAGCCCCGCCTCCCACCAAGGCGGCAGTGGCCTTAGCTGGCCACCCCGGAAGGGAGCTCAATGCCGCTGTCAGGAGCTGCGTAATTTATGAGTCTGGATAAAGCGTAGCCAAGCCCAGCATCTGGGCCACAGACACCCATCTGGCCGCTCCGGACGCGTGAACCCTGCGACCCCGCAAGCCAGGGGCCTCTGGGCCAGCGTGCACTGAGCGTGACTGTGGTGTGCTGAGCACTGCACGTGGGCAACCTCATTCCCATCACCAGAACGCTTTTCTTTGTTGTTTTTGGGTTTCGCTCTTGTCACCCAATCCGGAGTGCGGTGGCGAAATCACAGCTCACCACAACCTCTGCCTCTCAGGTTCAGGCAGTTCTCCTGCCTCAGCCTCTGGGTTCAAACGATTCTCCTGCCTCAGCCTCCCAAGTAGCTGAGATTACAGGTGTGCACCACCACGTCCAGCTAATATTTGTATTTTTAGTAGAAACGGGGTTCTCCATGTTGGTCAGGCTGATCTCAAACCCCCAACCTCAGGTGATCCGCCGGCCTCAGCCTCCCAAAGTGCTGGGATTACAGGCGTGAGCCACATCAGTCCCATTTTACAGGAAGAGAAACTGAGGTTTACAGCAGAAACATGCCAAATCCAAGGTCAATGAGAGGACATACAGCAAAGCCAGGCGTCCAATCTAGTCTGACCAACTTTTAAGAAAATGCCAGGCGGGGCACGGTAGCTCGCACCTGTAGTCCCAGCACTTGTGGAGGCCAAGGCAGGAGGATGGCTGGATCCCAGGAGGTCGAGGCCGCAGTGAACCGAGACTGTGCCACTGCACTCCAGCCTGAGCCACAGAGCCAGACTCCACCTCTAAGAAATAAAAAAATAAGTAAAATCTCAGATCCACTCCAGCCAGGTGTCACGACCTTAGACAAGCTACTTAACCTCTCCCTGCCTCAGTTTCTCCATCTGCAAAATGAGGATCCTAATGGGACCTTTTTGGTTTTTATTTATTTATTTACTTTTTTCTGAGATGGAATTTTGCTCTTGTTGCCCAGGCTGGAGTGCAGCGGCGCCATGTCAGCTCACTGTAACCTCCACCTCCCAGGTTCAGCAGATTCTCCTGCCTCAGCCTCCGGAGTAGCTGGGATCACAGGCGCGCACCACCACACCCGGCTGATTTTTGTGTATATATATTTTTTGGTAGAGACGGGGATTTGCCACGTTGGTAAGGCTGGTCTCGAACTCCTGACCTCAGGTATCCGCCCACCTTGGCCTCCCAAAGTGCTGGGTGTGAACCACCGCACCTGGCACTCATAGGACCTTTTTGAGCCTTAACTGCCTGGAACCTCCATCTCGAAAACAGTCCCCTTCCCCCACCTTTGCCCACCTGGTCCCCTCTGGTGTAGCCTCTCTCCTGCCCAAGGATAACTTGGGGGTGTGCCAGGGCGACAGGCAGGAGACCCAGGTTACATCCTGGCCTCCTGGGTGACTTTACACCCAGTCACCGCTCTCTGGACTTTGACATCCTCCGTGGGGTGTCGGGAGCTGGTTTGGGTTTTTTGTCTTGTTTTTTCTTTCTTTCTTTCTTTCTTTCTTTCATGAGATGGAGTCACGCTCTGTCGCCAGGCTGGAGTGCGGTGGCACCATCTCGGCTCACTGCAACCTCTGCCTCCCAGGTTCAAGCGATTCTCCTGCCTCAGCCTCCCGAGTACCTGGGGTTACAGGCACCTGCCACCACGCCCGGCTACTTTTTGTATTTTTAGTCAAGATGAGGTTTCAGCATGTTGGCCAGACTGGTTTTGAACGCCTGACCTCGGATGATCCTCCCACCTTGACCTCCCGAAGTGCTGGGATTACCGGTGTGAGCCACTCCACTTGGCTGGAGCTGGATTTTGAAGCATCGTACTTTAGTTTTACTTTACTCATCACATCTGGCCCCGTTTTTTGTTTTTTGGGTTTGTGTTTTTTTGAGACAGGAGTGCAGCGGCACAATCATAGCTCACTACGGCCTTGACATCGGGGCTCAAGCGATCCTCCAACCTCAGCCTCCCGAGTCCCTGGGATGACAGGCAAATGCCACTACAGCCAGATGCTTTTTTTTTTTTTTTTTTTTTTCAAAGATGGGATCTCCGGCCGGGCGCGGTGGCTCAAGCCTGTAATCCCAGCACTTTGGGAGGCCGAGGCGGGTGGATCACGAGGTCAAGAGATCGAGACCATCCTGGTCAACATGGTGAAACCCCGTCTCTACTAAAAATACGAAAAATTAGCTGGGCATGGTGGCGCGTGCCTGTAATCCCAGCTACTCGGGAGGCTGAGGCAGGAGAATTGCCTGAACCCAAGAGGCGGAGGTTGCGGTGAGCCGAGATCGCGCCATTGCACTCCAGCCTGGGTAACAGAGCGAAACTCCGTCTCAAAAAAAAAAAAAAAAAAAAAAAGATGGGATCTCATTATGTTGGCCAGGCTGGTCTCAAACTCCTCACCTCAAGTGATCCACCCACTTTGGCCTCCCAAAGTGCCGGGATGAGAGTGTGAGCCACCGCACCAGGACTGGGTCCGATTTTGTTGTGTAGGGTGGCTGGGCATGAGCCCCACACCGGGGAACCGGTCTCCTCCCACCGCTGTCTACAGCCTGTCCCTGGGGAACCTCACTCCAAAGAAGCTGTGTTTTCTGTTCCCAGAATAGAACTGGATTTCAGGGTCTATTTCTTATTATAAAAGTGACACCACGAAAATGGAGAAAAAAAGGCTGTGTGCGATAGCTCCCGCCTGTAATCCCAGCACTTTGGGAGGCTGAGGCGGGTGGATCACCTGAGGTTGGGAGTTCAAGACCAGCCTCACCAACATGGTGAAACCCCGTCTTTTAAAAAAAAAAAAAAAAAATACAAAAATTGGGGTAGGCGCGGTGGCTCACGCCTGTAATCCCAGCACTTTGGGAGGCCGAGGCGGGTGGATCACGAGGTGAAGAGATCGAGACCATCCTGGCCAACATGGTGAAACCCCGTCTCTACTAAAAAAAATACAAAAATTAGCTGGGCGTGGCGGTGCACACCTATAGTCCCAGCTACTCGGGAGGCTGAGGCAGGAGAATGGCTTGAACCGGGAGGCGGAGGTTGCAGTGAGCCGAGATTGCGCCACTGCACTCCAGCCTGGCGCCTGGCGACGGAGTGACTCTTGTCTCAAAAAAAAGGAGAAAAAGGAATCCACACATTTCTCACATGTGGGGACAAAAGATCCCCTGGGTCCCCCTAAAATGCCAACGAGCTTGGGCCACTCACACCTAACATTCACCACACATTGTGACTCGAAGTTGACCTCAGAGCCCCGGTGAGAACCAGAGACTCTTGGCCAGCTGCTGTCTACCCACCCTCCCTCCTGACACTGGACAGGGTCTCGCTCTGTCTCCCAGGCTGGAGTGCAGTGGCGCGATCACAGCTCACTGCAGCCTCGACCTCCCGGGCTCAAGCGATCCTCCCACCTCAGCCTCCTGAATAGCTAGGACCATAGACACACATGATGCCAGGCTAATTTTTGTATTATTTGTAGACACGGGGTCTTGCTACATTGCCCAGGCTGGTCTTGAACTCCTGGGCTCAGGCGATCCTCCTGCCTTAGCCTCCTGTGGAGGCTTGAGCCACCATACCCAGCCAGTGTCAGAATTTCTGTTTCACAATGGCTGAAATGTGTTCCGGTGTCCGTGATCTGCCCAGGGCTTTGATAGGTGACTAATGGGGAAACTGAGGCACAGAGCGTCGCAGTCACTTGCCTGAGGTCACATAATGAGCACCAGGGCTAGAGTTCGAATCTAGGGCTCCTCAGCCCATCTCTGGGACCCACAAATACTTCCTGGTGTCCTCCAGGGACCCCGGAAAACATGGCCTTGGTCTTTACCCTTGACAAGTCCAGAGGTAGTAAGAGCACAGTGGTGGACCTCATCGCAGGAACAGTGAGAATACTCTCTGGGTGGAGACGGAGCTAAGTCGGAAAAGGCTTCCTGAAGGAGGCAATATCTGGGGCCAGGAGTTCAAGACCAGCCTGGGCGACATAGTGAGACCCTGTTTTTACAAAAAATAAAAATAAAAATTTAGCTAAGCATGGTGGTGCAGCCCACCTGTAATCCCAGCACTTTGGGTGGTTGAGGCAGGAGGATCACTTGAGCTCAGGAGTTCAAGACCAGCCTGGGCAACACAGGGAGACACCACCCCACTCCGTTTCTACCAAAAAATGAAAATAAGAAATCAGCCAGGTAGGCCGGGCGCGGTGGCTCACGCCTGTAATCCCAGCACTTCGGGAGGCCGAGGCAGGTGGATCACACGGTCAAGAGATCGAGACTATCCTGGTCAACATGGTGAAACCCCGTCTCTACTAAAAAAATACAAAAAATTAGCTGGGCATGGTGGCGCGTGCCTGTAATCCCAGCTACTCAGGAGGCTGAGGCAGGAGAATTGCCTGAACCCAGGAGGCGGAGGTTGCGGTGAGCCGAGATCACGCCATTGCACTCCAGCCTGGGTAACAAGAGCGAAACTCCGGCTCAAAAAAAAAAAAAGAAAAGAAAAGAAATCAGCCAGGTAGAGTGGTCCATGCCTGTAGTCCCAGCTATTTGGGAGGCTGAGATGGAAGGATCATGTGGGTCCAGAGGTTGAGGCTACAGTGAGCCTTGATGGCACCATGGCACTCCAGCCTGGGTGACAGAGCAAGACTCTGTCTCAAAAACAACCAAAAACAAGGAAGGGATATTTGAGTTGGGGCATTGAAGGTTGTATAGGAGTTCACCAGAGCTACTTAAACTGAAAGGCAGAATTACAAGCAAATCTTCTTTCTCTTGCCTCTCAGGTGTGGTGTGCCTGAACCAGTGCCAGCTAGCCCCGTCTGCAGCCTCGGCCTGATGGCGTGGTGACTGATCCCGCAGGGCTCCGGAGCCATGTGGCCCAACGGCAGTTCCCTGGGGCCGTGTTTCCGGCCCACAAACATCACCCTGGAGGAGCGGCAGCTGATCGCCTCGCCCTGGTTTGCCGCCTCCTTCTGCGTGGTGGGCCTGACCTCCAACCTGCTGGCCCTGAGTGTGCTGGCGGGCGCGCGGCAGGGGGGCTCACACCCGCGCTCCTCCTTCCTCACCTTCCTCTGCGGCCTCGTCCTCACCGACTTCCTGGGGCTGCTGGTGACCGGCATCATCGTGGTGTCGCAGCACGCCGCCCTCCTGGAGTGGCACACCCTGGACCCCAGCTGCCGTCTCTGCGGCTTCATGGGCGTCGTCATGGTCTTCTTCGGCCTGTGCCCGCTGCTGCTGGGGGCCACCATGGCCTCGGAGCGCTACCTGGGCATCACCCGGCCCTTCTCGCGCCCGGCGGTCACCTCGCAGCGCCGCGCCTGGGCCACCGTGGGGCTGGTGTGGGCGGCCGCGCTGGTACTGGGCCTGCTGCCCCTGCTGGGCGTGGGCCGCTACACCGTGCAGTACCCGGGCTCCTGGTGCTTCCTAACGCTGGGCGCCGAGCCCGGGGACGTGGTGTTCGGGCTGCTCTTCGCCATGCTGGGCGGCCTCTCGGTCGGACTGTCCTTCGTGTTGAACACGGTCAGCGTGGCCACCCTGTGCCATGTCTACCACGGGCAGGAGGCGGCCCAGCAGCGCCCCCGGGACAGCGAGGTGGAGATGATGGCCCAGCTCCTGGGGATCATGGTGGTGGCCAGCGTGTGTTGGCTGCCCCTGCTGGTGAGTGGCGAGGCCCTGCGGGGTCCTGCTACCCCCCTGACCGGGCCTCCGGTCACCCAGCGTGGATATAAATCCTGGTGATGGGCCAGGCTCGGTGGCTCACACCTGTAATCTCAGCACTTTGGGAGGCCAAGGCGGGAGGATCGCTTGAGGCCAGGAGTCCGAGACCAGCCTGGCCAACATGGTGAAACCCCATCTCTACTAAAAAGACAAAAATTGGCCTGGCGCAGTGGCTCAAGCCTGTAATCCCAGCACTTTGGGAGACCAAGGCGGGTGGATCACGAGGTCGAGAGATCGAGACCATCCTGGTCAACATGGTGAAACCCCGTCTCTACTAAAAATACAAAACATTAGCTAGGCATGGTGGCACGTGCCTGTAATCCCAGCTACTCAGGAGGCTGAGGCAGGAGAATTGCCTGAACCCGGGAGGCGGAGGTTGTGGTGAGCCGAGATCGCGCCATTGCACTCCAGCCTGGGTAACAAGAGCAAGACTGTCACACACACACACACACACACAGACGCACACACAAACACAGACATACACACACACACACACACCTGAAAGCCGCCACAGGAAACACATAAATGAGTGGGCGTGGCTGCAGCCAATAAAACGTTACTGATGGTTGGATGCTGACATTTGAATTTCATGTCGTTTTTACGTCACTCAATTTTTGCCTCTATTTTTTTTTCCTCTAAGCATTTAAACATGGAAAGACATTCCTAGAAAAAAACCCAACAGGCCAGGCACAGTGGCTCACACTTGTAATCCCAGCACTCTGAGAGGCTGAGGCAGGCAGATCACCCAAGGTCAGGAGTTCAAGACCAGCCTGGCCAACATGGTAAAAACCATACAAAAATTTTGGTGGTTTTTTGTGTGAGCGTGGTGGCAGGCGCCTGTAGTCCCAGCTACTCGGGAGGCTGAGGGATGAGAATTGCTTGAGCCCGGGAGGTGGAGGTTGCAGCGGGCCGAGATTGTGCCACTGCACTCCAGCCCGGGCGACAGAGCAAGACTCCATCTCAGAAAAAAGAAAAAAGAAAGAAAGAAAAAGAAACAAAACAAAACAAAACAAAACCAGAAAAGCAAAAACCCAAAGCAAGTGTCAGGCTGGATTTGGCCCATGGGTCAACCCTTACTCTAAACCCTCCCATGGCTCCCTATTGCCCTATGAAGAACATTCTCACAGGCACTTCCTGCAGACAAACCTGGCCCACTCCCATTTGCCCTTCAGTGACTTCCGCAGGCTGGGTCAGGAACCTCCTCGGGGCTCTGACCCTACTTTCCCGTCACAGCTTGCCTGCCCCATGCTGTAACCCCTGGGCCGGGTGTCCATCTCCTGACCGGACTGTGAGCCTATGACGGTGTGTCCTGGGACTCTCTTGGCCACTGTTCTGTCCTCAGCTTCACCCAGCATACAGTAGGTGCTCAGGAAATGATTTTCTTTATTTATTTTATTTATTTAATTTTTTTGAGACGGAGTTTCGCTCTTGTTACCCAGGCTGGAGTGCAATGGCGCGATCTCGGCTCACCGCAACCTCCACCTCCTGGGTTCAGGCAATTCTCCTGCCTCAGCCTCCTGAGTAGCTGGGATTACAGGCACACACCACCATGCCCAGCTAATGTTTTGTATTTTTAGTAGAGACAGGGTTTCACCATGTTGACCAAGATGGTCTTGATCTCTTGACCTCGTGATCCACCCGCCTCGGCCTCCCAAAGTGCTGGGGTTACAGGCTTGAGCCACTGCGCCCGGCCTGGAAATGGTTTTAATATAGCAATGCATTCTAATGTAATATAAATTATTTTGGCCGGGCGCGGTGGCTCACTCCTCTAATCCCAACACTTTGGGAGGCCGAGGCAGGTGGATCACTTGAGGCCAGGAGTTCGAGACCAGCTTGGCCAAAATGGTGAAACACCATCTCTATTAAAAATGCATGGCTCAAGCCTGTAATCCCAGCACTTTGGGAGGCCGAGGCGGGTGGATCACGAGGTCAAGAGATCGAGACCATCCTGGTCAACATGGTGAAACCCCGTCTCTACTAAAAATACAAAAAATTAGCTGGGCATGGTGGCACATGCCTGTAATCCCAGCTACTCAGGAGGCTGAGGCAGGAGAATTGCTTGAACCCAGGAGGCGGAGGTTGCGGTGAGCCGAGATTGCGCCATTGCACTCCAGCCTGGGTAACAAGAGCGAAACTCCGTCTCAAAAAAAAAAAAAAAAAAAAAATGCAAAGAGTTAGCTGGGCGTGGTGGTGGGCACCTGTAATCCCAGCTGCTCAGGAGACTCAGGTGGGAGGATTACTTGAACCTGGGAGGCAGGGGTTGCAGTGAGCTGAGATCGCACCACTGCACTGCGGCCTGGGTGACAGAGCCAAACTCCATCTCAAAAAAAAAAGTATATGTATAAATTTATTTCATGTTATTTTATTCTGAGACGTAGTTTTGCCTCAGCCTCCCACGTAGCTGGGATTACAGGCGCCTGCCACCACACCCGACTAATTTTTGTATATTTTAGTAGAGACGGCGTTTCACCACGTCGGTCAGGCCGGTCTTGAACAAATTATTTTAATATAATGTAAATGTTAATTACCTAATTGTATGATATATATATCAATAACAGGCAACATAATTATGAACAATAATTTTATTATATATTATAATTTGTAAATGGCATTCTTATTTTAAATATTTATTTTAAAATATAACTTAAAAAATTTTCCCATCAATCCTGATCTATAGATAAATATAATTTTTATCGTTTAAAAATTTTAGGCTCAGGCCGGGCGCGGTGGCTCAAGCCTGTAATCCCAGCACTTTGGGAGGCCGAGGCGGGTGGATCATGAGGTCAAGAGCTCAAGACCATCCTGGTCAAAATGGTGAAACCCCGTCTCTACTAAAAATACAAAAAATTAGCTGGGCATGGTGGCGCGTGCCTGTAGGCCCAGCTATTCAGGAGGCTGAGGCAGGAGGATTGCCTGAACCCAGGAGGCGGAGGTTGCGGTGAGCCGAGATCGCGCCATTGCACTCCAGCCTGGGTAACGAGCAAAACTCCATCTCAAAAAAAAAAAAATTTTAGGCTCACATCGGTAACCTCAGCACTCTGGGAGGCCAAGGTGGGCAGATCACCTGAGGTCAGGAGTTTGAGACCAGCCTGGCCAACATAGAGAAACCCCATCTCTCCTAAAAATACAAAAAAAATTAGCTGGGCGTGCTGGCGGGTACCTGTCATCCCAGCTACTCGGGAGGCTGAGGCCGGAGAATCGCTTGAACCCGGGAGGTGGAGGCTGCAGTGAGCCGAGATCACAACACTGCACTCCAGCCTGGGTGACAAGAGCCAAACTCCATCTCAAAAAAATAAATAAAATAAAAATGAAAATATTATTTATTTATTTTGAGACAGGATCTTTCTCTGTCACCCAGGCTGGAGTGTGACCATGCCCGGGTGACTTTTTTATTTATTTCTACCTTTTGTAGGCGTGGGATCTATATTGCCCAAGCTGGTCTTGAACTCCTGGGCTCAAGTGATCCTCGCCACTGACCTGCACTGACCTGGGATTACAGCTGCGACCCACTGCCTAGCTAAGAGTGTGCTAATTTATGGTCCCAACTTGCCTGAGGTCACCCAGCAATGCAGTAACAGAGTACACACTGGTCAGGCATGGTGGCTCACGCCTGTAATCCCAGCACTCTGGAAGCCTGAGGTGGGCGGATCACTTGAGGTCAGGAGTTCAAGACCAGCCTGGCCAACGTGGTGAAACTCAGTCTCTACTAAAAATACAAACATTAGCCAGGCGTGCTGGCAAGCACCTGGAGTCCCAGCTACTCAGGAGGCTGAGACAGAAGAATCACTTGAACCTGTGAGGCGGAGGTTGCAGTGAGCTGAGATCACACCACTGCACTCTAGCCTGGGGGACAGAGCCAGACTCTGTCTAAAAATTAAATTATATATTAAAAAGGCTGGGCGCGGTGGCTCATGCCTGTAATCCAAGCACTCTGGGGGCCGAGGCGGGAGGATCACCTGAGGTCGGGAGTTCAAGACCAGCTCGACCAACATGGTGAAACCCCATCTTTTTTTTTTTTTTTTTTTTGAGACAGTTTTGCTCTTGTTGCCCAGGCTGGAGTGCAATGGCGCGATCTCGGCTCACCGCAACCTCCGCCTCCTGGGTTCAGGCAATTCTCCTGCCTCAGCCTCCCGAGTAGCTGGGATGACAGGCACGCGCCACCATGCCCAGCTAATTTTTTGTATTTTTAGTAGAGACAGGGTTTCACCATGTTGACCAGGATGGTCTGGATCTCTTGACCTCGTGATCCACCCGCCTCGGCCTCCCATAGTGCTGGGATAACAGGCTTGAGCCACCTCGCCCGGCCATCCCATCTTAAAAAAAAGAAAAAGAGACCGGGCGCGGTGGCTCAAGCCTGCAACCCCAGCACTATGGGAGGCCGAGGCGGGTGGATCACGAGGTCAAGAGATCCAGACCATCCTGGTCAACATGGTGAAACCCCGTCTCTACTAAAAATACAAAAATTAGCTGGGCATGGTGGCACGCGCCTGTAGTTCCAGCTACTCGGGAGCCGGAGGCAGGAGAATTGCTTGAACCCAGGAGGCAGAGGTTGCGGTGAGCCGAGATCGCGCCATTGCACTCCAGCCTGGGTAACAAAAGCGAAACTCCGTCTCAAAAATAAATAAATAAATAAATAAAATACAAAGAAAAACAAATTAAAAAACAGAGTGCACCTTGGAACTCAGGGGATAGAAGGTGCTGGGCAGGCACGGGGCCGGTGGGGCTGCAGGCGGGGTCCTGACCGATAGCTTTGCCCTCTGCAGGTCTTCATTGCCCAGACGGTGCTGCGGAGCCCGCCTGCCATGAGCCCTGCGGGGCAGCTGTCCCGCGCCACGGAGCAGGAGCTGCTCATCTACCTGCGAGTGGCCACGTGGAACCAGATCCTGGACCCCTGGGTGTACATCCTGTTCCGCCGCGCCGTCATCCGGCGCCTGCAGCCTCGCCTCAGCACCCGGCCCAGGTCGCTATCCCTCCAGCCCCAGCTGACGCAGGGCTCCCGGCTGCAGTAGGAACGGGAAGGAGCGCCCCTCCCGCGCATCCCCGAGGAGCCCTGGGTCCCCTCCGACGGCCCATCTGCCTGTTCTGAGGGTCTCAAAGCTGGGGGTGCTGGATGGACAGTGGGCAGCAGCAGCAGGGTTCGGGGCTGACCCCAATCCAAACCAGGGACCCGCAACCCCTCCCCGATCCTTTTACCAAGATCTCTCCCTCCCTCGTCCCCCTTTTCCCACCCAGAGCTCCCACCCCTCCTCTGCTCTCCTCCCAACCCCAGGAAGGGCATGGGGACATTGGCAGAGGGTCTTGCCTTGCTGTTTTTTTGTGAGACAGAGTCTTGGTCTGTCACCCAGGCTGGAGTGCAGTGGCGTGATCTCCCCTCACTGCAACCTCTGCCTCCCAGGTTCAAGCGATTCTTCTGCCTCAGCCTCCCAAGTACCTGGGATTACAGGTGCCCGCCACCACAGCCGGCTAATTTTTGTATTTTTAGTAGAGACAGGGTTTCGCCATGTTGGCCAGGCTGGTCTTGAACTTCTGACCTCCAGTGATCCTCTCACTTCGGCCTCCCAAAGTGCTGGGATTACAGGTGTGAGCCACCATGCCCAGCCCCCCCTTTTTTTTTTTTCTTTAGGAGATGGAGTCTCACTCTGTGGCCCAGGCTGGAGTGCAGTGGCACGATCTCAACTCACTGCAACCTCCGCCTCCTGGGTTCAAGCAATTCTTGTGCCTCAGCCTCCCGAGCAGCTGGGACCCCAGGTGTGCACCACCGCACCCGGCCTTGCGTTGCTCTGTGACCCTGAATTTGACCTGCTCGCTGGGTTACAGTTGCTTCCTTTTGAATCCCCAACTGGGAAGCCTGTGTCCAGAACACCCCCTTCTCTTGCCAAAATATATCTCTGTCTTTGGTTTTATTTTCCTTTGGGTCCAAAAGCCATCAGTCTCTGGGGTTTTGTGCACGGGACCTCCCCCGGGGCAGAGGAGGGCAGGGCTGGGGAGGCTGCGGAGGGACAGAGGGGAAGTGGCTGCTCCTCCCCTTGTAGATGGCGTGTTCCCTAGTCACCCGATGGGCGGCACTGCCTAGAATTCTTCCAGGAACCTGCAGCGGGAGGGCTACAGGTTAGTCCTGGAATCTGCATTCAAACCACCCTTGAATCTACATATTTTATTTAGTTAGTTTGAGACGGTCTTGCTCTGTCACCAGGCTGGAGTGCACTGGTACAATCTCGGCTCACTGCAACGGCCACCTCCCCAGTTTCAGCGATTCTCCTGCCTCAGCCTCCCAAGTAGTTGGGGACTACAGGCCCGGCTAATTTTTGTATTTTTTAGTAGAGACGGGATTTCACCGTCTCGATCTCTTGACCTCGTGATCTGCCCGCCTCAGCCTCCCAAAGTGCTGGGATTACAGGAGTGACCCACTGCGCCCGGCCAGGAATTAAAAGTGGGTGGGCTGGGCACGGTGGCTCACGCCTGTAATTCCAGCACTTTGGGAGGCCGAGGCCAGCGGATCACGAGGTCAAGAGATCGAGACCATCCTGGCCAACATGGTGAAACCCCGTCTCTACTAAAAATACAAAAAATTAGCCAGGCGTGGGGGTGCACGCCTGTAATCCCAGCTACTTGGGAGGCTGAGACAGGAGAATCGCTTGAACCCGGGAGGCGGAGGTTGCAGTGAGCTGAGACTGTGCCCTGCCTCCAGCCTGGGTGACGGAGTGAGAGTCTGTATTGGAAAAAGAAAGGACCAGCGTCTGGGTCTTCATGGAGCACCCCTCGTGTGCAGGCACGGAAGCTCATGCCCATGTGGTGCTTAATGACATGCTTGGTACATAGTAGGTGGTCAGGAGGTGCTCAGCGTAGTTTCAGCCAGCAGCCCCAGCCCCCCATCTCCACGTTCCCCTAATTCCCCACAAAATGGCACACCAGGCTGCAGAGATGGGAGGCGCCTTTATTCACCACGAGCCTCGGGGTCCATGTGGAGCATGCTGTGTCCTCCCTCCTCTTCCCTCCCAGGACCTGGATGTGAGCCAGGCCCGCTGAAACCGAAGCCCCTGATTCCACCACCGTACCCCGCCCCCACCCCCGCCACTGCCTGCTGGGAATATAAGGTCACTTGCTGCTTCCGGGGGAACCAGCTGAGAGGGACAGGAGAGGATGGGAATGACAGGAACCAGGGCTGAGTCACCCCCAGTCTACAGCCCCCTGTAGTCATGGAGGGGTCCTGGTTCCCCCAGAGTCGGGGAAGGGGCAGGAGCCAGTGCTGGGGACTCAGAAGGGAGGGAACTCAGGAGGGCTGCCCTGGGGGTGGGGCTAAGAGAGACAGATATGGTGGGTAGGGTGGACTTCTGGGGTCCCAGCTCAGGCTTTGGGGGGAGGGCTGGCTTCTGGGGGGTTGAGGAGGGCTGTGGCTGAGGGGCCAGGTAGCAGGCTGGGGGTGAGCCCGGAACGGGGCCAGGGCTGACCTGGGTACCATGGGCCTGATCACGGGGCTGAGGCAGAGACTGGGGGGCTCTGGGGGGTGGGCCTGGGGGCTGAGGTCGGGCTGGGGCAGGGGCCTCAAGCTGAATTCTAGGGTCAAGGCCAGGGGTCTGTGAGCAGAGCCCATTTCTAGGGCTCAGCCAGATTCTTGAACTGGTATGAGTGCTGGAGCTGGACTGGGTTCCAGAGCTAAGGTGGGCTCCGGGGCTGGGCTGAATTCTGGAGCTCGTCTGCGTTTCTGAGCTGAGCCCGGTCTCAGCGCTGGTCTGGGTTCTGGAGCCAAGGTGGGCTCCAGGATCGGGCTGAATTCTCGAGCTGGTCTGGGTTTCAGAGCTGGACTGAGTCCCAGGACTGACGTGGGTTCTAGAACTGAGCTGGGTTCCAGAACTAAGCTGACTTCCAGAGCTGGCTTGAATTCTTGAACTTAACTGGGTCCCAGAGCTAGGCTGACTTCCAGAGCTGGTCTGCTTCCCAAAGTCCAGTTGAATACCAGAGCTGTCTGGGGTTGTGGTCTGGAGCTGGTATCTAGAACCTGGCAGGGTTCTAGAGGTGAGTTGAGTCCCGGAGGTTGGTTGAGCTCCTGGGTAGCGCTGGATCCTGGAGCTGGGCCTGCTGTCGGAACGAGACAGGGCCGCAGAGCGTAACTCTGTTGCTGCAATGACCTGGGTCCCAGGACTAGATTGGACTCCAGAGTTTACCTGGATTCTAGAATTTGGCTGGATCTCAGCCCCTGTCTGTGTTTTGGAGCTGGCTGGGATTTCAGAACCAGTCTGTGCTGCAGAACGGAGATGAGCTCTAGACTTGGCTGCAGTGCCTGGGCTGGGCTGAGCTCTGGAGCTTGGCCAGGCCTCGAAATTAGTCTGAGTCCCAGAAGCAAACTGCATTCTAGAGCTGATCCGCGTTCTGCCGGGAGAGCGTGGCTCAGCACCGAGCTGTGTGCTGGAGCTGGGCCCTGCTTCCGAGATGGACAGCGTTCCAGAGCTGGTCTGAATCCTGGAGTTGGACCTGGCTGTAGCATTAGGTGAGGTTCTAGAGCTGGGCTCAGTCTCAGAGCTGGAATCATCACTGGAGCTGCACGGAGCTGCAGGAAAGGGATGGGTACTTGCATGCAGCTGGGTTTTAGAGCAGGGCTGGGGTTGGAATCTGGACCGTGCAGGTGCATGGGTCTGGGTTTCTGAGCTGGTATGAGTTCTTGAATACAGTTCAATTTGGGAACTGTCTATGAATCCTGAACTGGCTGGGGTTCCGGAGGTGGGCTGCTTCATGAATCTCACATGGGTTCCAAAATTAACTGGGGTTCTGGAGCTAGACTGAGAGTCCAGAGTTCCAGAGTCCGCTCGAGTATTCCAGCACAGCTTGGCTTCCGAGCTAGCCTGGATTCTGGAACCGGGATTCGTCTCCAAGCTGGCCTGGGTCTTAAAATTTGTCTGCATTCCAGAGCTCGGCTTGATGTCAGGGCTCAGCTGGATTCTAGAGATGAGCTTCATCTCAGAGCGGACCTGGGTTCTGGGCTTGCGCTCGGAGTCAGGTTTGGTTTCAGAGCTTAGCTTCGTCTTGGAGCTGGGCTTGGTCTCAGACTCGGTCTGAGTTCTAGAACAGGGCTTGGTCTCAGAGATCTTCTGGGTTCTAGAGCTGGGCTTGGTCTCAAGGCTGGCCTGAGTTCTAGAACAGGACTTGGTCTCAATGTTGGGCTTGGTCTTGGAGCTCAGCTGAGTTCTAGAGCTGGGTGTAGTCTCAGAACTCATCTGGGTTCCAGAGCTGGGTGTGGCCTCAGAGCTCATCTGGGTTCTAGAGCTGGGCCGGGTCTCAGAGCTCATCTGGGTTCTAGAGCTGGGCCGGGTCTCAGAGCTCATCTGGGTTCTAGAGCTGGGTGTGGCCTCAGAGCTCATCTGGGTTCTAGAGCCAGGCCAGGTCTCAGAGCTCATCTGGGTTCTAGAGCTGGGTGTGGCCTCAGAGCTCATCTGGGTTCTAGAGCTAGGCCAGGTCTCAGAGCTCATCTGGGTTCTAGAGCTGGGTGTGACCTCAGAGCTCACCTGGGTTCTAGAGCTGGGCTGGGTCTCAGAGCTCACCTGGGTTCTAGAGCTGGGCTGGGTCTCAGAGCTCACCTGGGTTCTAGAGCTGGGTGTGACCTCAGAGCTCACCTGGGTTCTAGAGCTGAGTGTGACCTCAGAGCTCACTTGGGTTCTAGAGCTGGGTGTGACCTCAGAGCTCATCTGGGTCCTAGAGCTGGGCTGGGTCTCAGAGCTCACCTGGGTTCTAGAGCTGGGCTGGATCTCAGAGCTCACCTGGGTTCTAGAGCTGGGTGTGACCTCAGAGCTCATCTGGGTTCTAGAGCTGGGCTGGGTCTCAGAGCTCTTCTGGGTTCTAGGGCTGGGTGTGACCTCAGAGCTCACCTGGGTTCTAGAGCTGGGCCGGGCCTCAGAGCTGATCTGGGTTCTAGAGCTGGGCTGGGTCTCAGAGCTCATCTGCGTTCTAGAGCTGGGTGTGGCCCCAGAGCTCACCTGGGTTCTAGAGCTGGGTGTGACCTCAGAGCTCATCTGGGTTCTAGAGCTGGGTGTGACCTCAGAGCTGATCTGGGTTCTAGAGCTGGGTGTGACCTCAGAGCTCATCTGGGTTCTAGAGCTGGGCCGGGCCTCAGAGCTGATCTGGGTTCTAGAGCTGGGCTGGGTCTCAGAGCTCATCTGGGTTCTAGAGCTGGGCTGGGTCTCAGAGCTCATCTGGGTTCTGGAGCTGGGCTTGGCCTCAGAGCTGGTCTGAGTTCTAGAACAGGGGTTGGTGTCAGTGCTGGGCTTGGTCTCAGAGCTCATCTGAGTTCTAGAGCTGGGCTTGGTCTCAGAGGCGAACTGAGTTTTAGAACAGGGCTTGGTCTCAGAACTCATCTGGATTCTAGAGCTGGGCATGGTCACAGAACTCATGTGAGTTCTAGAGCTGGGCATGGTTTCAGAGCTCATCTGGGTTCTAGAGCTGAGCTTTGTCTCAGGGGTGGCCTGGGCTCTAGAATAGGGCTTGGTCTCCATGCTGGGCTTCGTCTCAGAGCTGGTCTGGACGCTAGCACAGAGCTTGGCCTCAGATCTAGGCTGGATTCTAGAGAAGGGCAGGGTTCTGGAGCTGGGGTGGGGCTCCCAACTAGATTGGGTTCTAGAAAGGAACTTGGCCTCCAAGCTGGGTGGGGTTCTGGAGCAGGGCTGGGGGAGGGGGCTGGGCTCCGGGCTGGGGCTGGGCTGGGGCCCCCCGGGGCAGGCTAGCCGCAGGCCTCCCTGGCCTCTCCAATGGCGGCCCACACCTCCACCACAAACTCGTCGGGGAAGGCGAACTCGCCCAAGACGGAGTCTAAATGGCGTGCAAACTCCTGGGCACTGTCTGTCTTCTTGGACGTCTCCACCATGGTGGACGCTGTGGGCCATGCCGGAGGGGTGGTCAGCGCGGGCACTTCCCTCTGGGACCCTGCCTCCTCCCACGGGCCGCCCTCCCCCGCAGGGCCCCCCGGCTTACCCTGGCCCCTTACCCAGCTCGGGGTCCCGAATGCCCATGTAGCTTTCCAGCAGGTCATCAACCTTCCGAGAAGCCTCCTCCTCAAACTCACTGGGCTGGAGGCACCAGGGCGGGAAGTCGGGGTGAAAACCCTCGGATCCCTCGAGCCCAGCCCCCTCCGACCCCACCCCTGAGGGAAGAGTGGGCTGGACCCTCACACCAGTCAGTGGTGCTGGTACCAACATCACTGCCTCATCTTTCAACGAGGACCCATTTTGCAGGCAGAGAAACCGAGGCTGTGAGGTCTTGTCTAAGGCCGCACTGACTCGGCGGCAGAGCTGTGGGGGCAGAAGCCTTGGAAGAACCCCCCCCACTTCACTCACCGCTTCCTCCACCGTGGCGGCCCCCCCAGAACGAAGCCGCAGGGTCTCCCTCCCGCTGCTCACTTTCGTCTCTACGGGACACTTGCTGGACCGACTTCTCTGGCCGATCATATCTTGAGAAAACAGTGAGCGGATGGCCATGAGTTCTGGGTGGACCCACATCTTTGTAAACCCTGGGAGGCCACCAGCCGAGCCTTTCTAGAATCTTCCTCCCCTTCAAAGTCCTCTTTATATCTGTGTGGCGAATCTCCAGAGACCCATTCAAGATTCTGCTCTTCCCATCCCCAGCAAACTAAACCACAAGTCCAGGATGAGCCGCTGTAATGGAGCAGGCGTAGAACTAACCCCAGGTCGGGCACAGTGGCTCAAGCCTGTAATCCCAGCGCTTTGGGAGGCCGAGGCGGGTGGATCACGAGGTCAAGAGATCCAGACCATCCTGGTCAACAGGGTGAAACCCCGTCTCTACTAAAAATACAAAACATTAGCTGGGCATGGTGGCGCGTGCCTGTAATCCCAGCTACTCGGGAAGCTGAGGCAGGAGAATTGCCTGAACCCAGGAGGCGGAGGTTGCGGTGAGCCGAGATCGCACCATGGCACTCCAGCCTGGGCAACAAGAGCGAAACTCCGTCTCAAAAAAAAAAAAAAAAAGGAAACCATTACCATATTCTCATTCTCTAGGACGCAGCATGACCTCAAAGTGCTACTTTAAAAGCTCCCAGCCGGGCTGCAGAGTGGTTCTGGACGCCCCCTCCTCCCAGGTTGGGGGAGTCTCTTTACCCAGTCTTTCCCCCCTCCCTCCCCCACAGACTGACTCCATGACAGTCTATTAATAGAAATGACCTACTGTCTCTGACACCCTGCCAGAAGTCCTCGGCCTGCACCGGATGCACCTAGAACCTTCCAGCCCGTCCCATCCCCGACCCACCTCCCCCCCACGCACCAGTAGAACCCATCTGGGAAGCGCTCCCGCCCGCCTCACCGAAGGCCCTCTTGGGCTGCACCAGCCTCAGGGTGAAGGGCTGGGACTTGGGAAGCTCCCGGAGCATCTTGGCCACCTCGTAGTGGCGGCAGCCCACGATGGAGTGGTCGTTGATGGCTTCGATGCTGTCTCCCACGCACACCGCCTCGATCCGGTTGATGATACTGCCTTCCTTGATTCTCTGCGGGGACCCAGAGCTACTGGCCGGGCAACACCAGCCACCCGCCCCGGATCCCCAGAACCCACATAGACCTAGAGGGGAGAGGAGGGGCAGTGGCTGGACCCCAGGAAGCCACCCGTCCACCCCTCCCCCCAGGTACCTTGATGAAGGCGTAGCCGGCCCCGTTGTCCGTGATGGTCAGCCCCAGGGCGTCCTCTGTTTTAGTGACCTCCACCTCCTTGGTCTCGCCTCGCACGTGGGCGAAGATGAAGTCCTCCAGGCCTATCTGACCTCCTAGGAGCTTCTGCATGTCCACTTTGTGGCTGTTGAGGGTGCAGAATAAGATCTTTCCCCCGGGGGGAGAGGGAGCCTGGAGTTAGGACACGCGTCCCCCACGCAGCGCCCTGTCTATGCAGGCCCCTCCCTGCCTCCAGCAACCAGGAGCCTAGCCCATGGCAAAGGGCAGGGCATGGGACCCCCAGAATGGAGAGGAGGGAGAAGGAGGCTTCCGGCAGGTCGAGTCCCCTGTCCAGACCCCCGGCCCTCCAGCCCCCAGACCTCCAGGTTTAATCTGCTAGCGCCCCCTGGGAGATGCAAACCCAACGAACCTGGATTGGATAAACGCCCAGGACCCCTCCAACCCCCACCCCACCGCGACCTCAGACTTCCCACCTTTAAGACGGGGGGCACCTGGAACCCCAGACCCCAGCTATGTTCAGGAAGCACAGAGGCGCGTTTCTGAGGGCTGCTGGGATCCGCTCCAAGCCAGGTCTGCGCAGGGGATTTTCTGGAGTATCTAGGGGTCCCCTAGCCCTAAGACCTGCCCATCTTTTGCGGGGCCCTGGGGGTGTGGCACCCCGGGGCCTGAGGGCTGTCTCTCTGAGATCCGGCGATTACGCGGCCACCCCGACGTGTGGGATCTGGGGATCTGGGGTCTCCCGTCCAGGGTCCAAGCTCTCCCCACCCCTCACCCCATCACGCGGGTGGCCTCGGGCGCGGGTGTCCGGGAGGCTTACCTCGGTGGGTGCGATCCCGAAGGCCTCAGCGATCTTGGCGTACAGCTCGCGGACGTTGGTGAAGCCCTCGATCTTGCCCGTGGGGCTCCCGTGCGCCAGCTGCGTGCGGAAAACCAGGCGCGGGCGGGCGCGGGGCGCGGCCGGGGGCTCCGAGGGCGAGGGCGAGGGCGAGGGCGGGGGCGCGGGCGCGGGCGCGCGCGGGGTCTCGGCCCCCCGGGCCTCGCGGGCCGCTGCGCTCTCCATGGCGGGAGAAGCTCGGCCACCTACCGGGCCCTCGCCGCCGCCGCCGGATCCGCGGCTTCCTGCAGCCTCCCCTCCCCCGGCCCAGGGCGCGACAGCCGAGACGCCCTGGTAAGGGGATCCGGGAACCCGAGCCGCCCGGGAAGGAGACACCGTGTCCAGGTGAGTGCGCAGGGGTGAGTCGGTCCCCAGGTGTCCGGGCCCTGCCAGGGCCAGCTGCGCCCTACCCGGGGATACCAGCAGTCTCGGGGGGAGGCGGGGGCGCGCCTCAGCCCAGAACCCTGGAAGAACAGAGACCTCAAATAAGGACAGGGACAGGCCGGTGTGGTGGCTCAGGCCTGTAATCCCAGCACTTTGGGAGGCCGAGGCGGGTGGACCACCTGAGGTCAGGAGTTCGAGACCAGCCTGGGCAACATGGTGAAACCCGGTCTCAACTAAAAAAATACAAGATTTAGCCAGGTGTGGCGGGCGCCTGTAATCCCAGCTAATCAGGAGGCTGAGGCAGGAGAATTGCCTACAGCTGGGAGGCAGAGGTTAAAGTGAGTTGAGATGGCGCCACTGCACTCCAGCCTGGGCGACAGAGCAAGACTCTGTCTCTATATAAATAAATAAGAAACATGATGAATTTTTTTGTACAGCTGGGATATCACTATGTTGCCCAAGCTGGTCTCAAACTCAAAACCGGGAGGTTGAAGCCACCCTCCAGCCTTGGCCTCCCAAAGTGCGAGGATTAGAGATGTCAACCACTGTGCCCAGCCTCTCCCCAGCACATTTAAAGCTACCATCTGATGTATCAGATATTTTATTTTTTGAGACCGGGTCTCTCTCTCCCACCCAGACCGGAGTGCAGTGGCACGATCTTGGCTCACTGCAACCTCTGCCTTCCCAGTTCAAGCAATTCTCCTTCCTCAGCCTCCCAATTAGCTAGGATTACAGGCACCTGCCACCACGCCCGGCTAATTTTTGTATTTTTAGTAGAGGCGGGGGTTTCACCATGTTGGCCAGGCTGGTCTCAAACTCCTGACCTCAAGGGATCCTGCCACCTCAGCCTCCCAAAGTGCTGGGATGACAGGTGTGAGCCACTGCGCCCGGCTGATATTTTATTGCATTTCGTGTCCTGTTTCTCTCCAGGACTGGAGGAATGTCAGCTCTAGGAAGAGCTCCGGGGGTTGTTCCCCTGATGTGTCCCCATGCCCAGTGCCCAGTGCCTGGCACACAGCTGGTGCTCAGTGATCTTTGGTGAGGAATGAATGAATGCCCAGGTCATAGATGGAGAAGGAGATGCCAGGCACCAGGAGGCATTGGTAAAACTCCGCTGGAATGCAATGCCAGAAACACCTATGCATCCGTCAAATTCCTACCCAGGAATGTTGGCTCAATAAACAGCTGCCCTGCTTGCGGGGGTGAGCCCTACAGCAGAGCCAGACACAGCCTCCACCCGGGAGGAGCCTCACAAACCAAACACGGGTAGAGAAAAGCAGGTGGCAGAAGGGTTTGAACAATGTAAGAAAGTTTATGTAAGGCCGGGTGTGGTGGCTCATGCCTGTAACCCTAGCACTTTGAGAGGCTGAGGGGGGCAGATGGCTTGAGGCCAGGAGTTCGAGACGAGCCTGGACAACATGGTGAAAGCTTATCTCTACTAAAAATACAAAAATTAGTCAGGTGCGGTGGGGCGTGCCTGTAATCCCAGCTACGCGGGAGGCTGAGGCGGGAGAATTGCTTGAACCTGGAGGCGGAGGTTGCGGTGAGCCGAGATCGCGCCACTGCACTCCAGCCTGGGCAACAGAGTCAGACTCTGTCTCAAAAAAAAAAAAAAAAAAAAAAAAAACCTGTATGTAAAGTATAAACTTTAGCAAAACATGCTGCAAGCTATGACATGGATGAATCTTGAGGACATCACGCTCAGTGAGAGAGAAGCCACGGGAGTCTCAGTGAGACACGAAAGGCCACATAGCGTGTGATCTCATTTCTACGAAATGTCCAGGGCAGACTCATCCACGCAGACAGGAAGGGGATAACGGGGGTGTCAGGAATCGGGGAGGGGATGGGGAGTGACTGTTGATGGAGACAGGGCTTCCTCTGGGAGTGATGGAATGTTCTGGAATTAGAGGTGATGGTTGCACAGCTTTTTTTTTTTTTTCTTCCTGAGACAGACTCTTTAATTACTCTGTCTTCCAGGCTAGAGCGAAGTGGCACGATCTTGGCTCACTGCAGCCTCCACCTCCCGGGTTCAAGAGCTTCTCCTGCCTCAGCCTCCCAAGTAGCTGGAATTACAGGCACACACCACCACGCCCAGCTGTTTTTGTATTTTTAGTAGCGATGGGGTTTCACCATGTTGGCCAGTCTGGTCTCGAACTCCTGGTCTCAAGTCATCCGCCTGCCTTGGCCTCCTTAAGTGCTGGAATTACAGTCGTGAGCACCGTGCCCAGCCCACACAGCTTTTTGAATGTAATAAAACCTACTGAATTGTGTAGGGGAATTTTTTAAAAGTAAAAAATCTGCTACAGAATGGTATTTTCCAGACCTGCCTAGAAATTAGAAGCTCGAAATTTCCTGGCACATCTCCTGTGCCAGGAAAGGGTGAAACGGTCTGGCAGGGTGTTGGGGGTTGGCAGTATCAGTTTGTCTGATCCCAGGGCGGCCGTAACAAAGCACCACAAAGCGGGTGGCGTGAGGTGGCTCTCGCCTGTGATCCCAGCACTTCAGGAGGCTGAGGCGGGAGGATCATTTGAGCCCAGGAGTTTGAGACCAGCCTGGGGAACAAGGTGACACCCCCGTCTCTACAAAAAATGCAAAATTAGCTGGGCCTGGTGGCATGCACCTGTGGTCCCAGCTACTTGGGACGAGGAGGTGGGAAGGTTGGTTGAGCCCGGGAGGCGCAAGCTGCAGTGAGCTGTGTTCGCACCTCTGAACTCCAGCCTGGGTGACAGAGCAAGATCCTGTTGCAGCCGCAAAGAAACAGCTGGACACAGTGGCTTATGCCTGTAATCCTAGCACTTTGAGAGGCTGACCCGGACAGATCACTTGAATCTGGTAGTTAAAGACCAGTCTGGGCAACACAGTGAGACCCCATCTCTAAAAAAAATACAAACAAGTTGGCCAGGCACAGTGGCTCATGCCTGGAATCCCAGCACTTTGGGAGGCTGAGGCAGGTGGATCGCCTAAGGTCAGGAGTTCGAGACTAGCCTGGCCAACATGGTAAAACCTGGTCTCTACTCAAAATAGAAAATTTAGCTGGGCGTGATGGCGGGTGCCTGTAATCCTACCTACTTGAGAAGCTGAGGTGGGAGAATCACTTGAACCTGGGAGGTAGAGGTTGCAATGAGCTGAGATTGCACCGTTGCACTCCAGCCTGGGCAACAGAGGGAGAATTTGTCTCAAAAAAAAAAAAAAAAAAAAAAAAAAATTAGTCAGTGATGGCAGGCACTTGTGGTCTCAGCTACTCACGGGAACCAGGTAGGAGGATCACCTGAGCCCAGGGAGGTGAAGGCTTCAGTGAGCTATGGTTGTAACACTGCATTGCAGCCTGGACAACAGAGTGAGACCCTGTCTCAAAAACAAAGTGATGGAGCGTGGTGACTCACACCTGGAATCCCAGCACTTTGGGAGGCTGGAGGAGGTGGGTCACCTGAGGTCAGGAGTTTGAGACCATCCTGGTCAACATGGCGAAACCCCATTGCTACTAAAAATACAAAAAATTAGCCAGGCATGGTGGCGGGCACCTGTAATCCCAGCTACTTGGGAGGCTGAGGCAGGAGAATCGCTTGAACCTGGATGGTGAAGGTTGCGGTGAGCCGAGATCACACCGTTGCACTCCAGCCTGGGCGACGGGAGCAAAACTGTTTAAAAAAAAAAAAAAAAAAAAGCAGGGGATGGGGGTGGGCACAATGACTCACACCTGTAATCCCAGCACTTTGGGAGGTCAAGACATGAGGACTCTTGAGCCCAGGAGTTCAAGACCAGCCTGGGCAGCATAGGGAACCAGGTGAATCGCTTGAACCTCTAAAAAATAAAAAACAGCTGGGCACGGTAGCTCACACCTGTAATCCCAGCACTTTGGGAGGCTGAGGTGGGCGGATCACATGAGGTTGGGACTTCGAAACCACCCTGACCAACATGGAGAAGCCCTGTCTTTAAAAAAAATTTTTTTTATTATTAAAAATATAACAAAAGCCGGGTGCGGTGGCTCAAGCCTGTAATCCCAGCACTTTGGGAGGCTGAGGCGGGTGGATCATGAGCTCAAGAGATCGAGACCATCCTGGTCAACATGGTGAAACCCCGTCTCTACTAAAAATACAAAAATTAGCTGGGCATGGTGGCACGTGCCTGTAATCCTAGCTACTCAGGAGGATGAGGCAGGAGAATTGCCTGAACCCAGGAGGCGGAGGTTGCGGTGAGCCGAGATCGCGCCATTGCACTCCAGCCTGGGTAGCAAGAGTGAAACTCCGTCTCAAAAATAAATAAATAAATAAATAAATAAATAAACAAAAATTTAAAAAAATATATATATATATAACAAAAACAAAGCACCATAAACAGTTGGCAGAAATGGACCCTCTCACAGCTCCAGAGGCCAGGATTCCATAATCAAGGTGGGGGCAGAGCCTCCCTCCCTCAGAGCCCCTGGGCAGACCCGGTCCTGGCGTTCAGTTTCCAGCTGTGGGTGGCCTTCCTTGACGTTCCTTGGCTTGTAGACACATCACTCCAGTCTCGGCCTCTGTTGTCACTTGGCTGTCTCTTCCCTGTGTCTGTGTCCAGATTTTATCTTCTTATAAGGAAAGCAGTCTTATTGGATTTAAGGCTCACCCTACTTCAGGATGACTTCATCTTAACTAATTATATCTGCAACGACCCTATTTCCAAATACGGTCACGCTCAGAGGTTCTGGGGTTCAGAAGATTTGCTGAAATATTTAGGATGTCTTATCTATGCCATTCAACGCAGAGGTCTGGGAAGGCTTGTCAGTAAGCAACACACACACACACACACACACACACACACACACACACAGAGCAAAATGCAGAGCTCTGAGTAATCTGATGGAAATTGGGCACTCTTAACAAAATCGTGTACATGAAATGCCCACAGCAGCATTACTCACAAGTAAATGTTAGAAACAGCTAAGTGTCCCTGGACAGATAGATGGGTCAGTACAGAGTGGGTTCGTCCACACCACAGCTGGACTCGGCCACAAAAAGGAACAGGGCTGTGATACAGGCCACAGCGTGGATGAACCTTGACATCACGCTCAGTGAGAGAAGCCAGACACAAAAGGACACACAAGCCAGGCGTGGTGGCTCGCGCCTCTAATCCCAGCACTTTGGGAGGCTGAGGGAGGAGGGTCACCTGAGGTCGGGAGTTCGAGACCAGCCTGGCCAACATGGCAAAACCCAATCTCTACTAAAAATACAAAAATGAGCCAGGTGTGGTGGTGGATGCCTGTATTTTATTTAAAAAGTCCAGATCCAGCAGTGGGAAGAGGCCCGATCCAGTAGTGGGAAGCTACTTGGGAGGCTGAGGCAGAAGAATCACTTGAACCCGAGAGGCAGAGATTGCAGTGAGCTGAGACTGCACCACTGCACTCCAGCCTGGTGACAGAATAAGACTCCCGTCCAAAAAAGGCCACACAATGTGTGATCCCATTTCTTTTTTTTTTTTTTTTTGAGACGGAGTTTCGCTCTTGTTACCCAGGCTGGAGTGCAATGGCGCGATCTCGGCTCACCGCAGCCTCCGCCTCCCAGGTTCAGGCAATTCTCCTGCCTCAGCCTCCTGAGTAGCTGGGATTACAGGCATGTGCCACGATGCCCAGCTAATTTTTGTATTTTTAGTAGAGACGGGGTTTCACCATGTTGACCAGGATGGTCTGGATCTCTTGACCTCATGATCCACCTGCCTTGGTCTCCCAAAGTGCTGGGATTATAGGCGTGAGCCACCGCGGCCAGCCCCATTTCTATGAAATATCCGGGACAGGCCAAGCCACAGAGGCAGGAAGGCAGGAGCTGGGGAGGGGATGAGAGTGACCGTTGATGGGGGCGATTAGAATGAGCAGAGATTAGCCGGGTGCGGTGGCTCAAGCCTGTAATCCCAGCACTTTGGGAGGCCGAGGCGGGTGGATCACGAGGTCAAGAGATCGAGACCATCCCGGTCAACATAGTGAAACCCCGTCTCTACTAAAAATACAAAAAATTAGCTGGGCATGGTGGCATGTGCCTGTAATCCCAGCTACTCAGGAGGCTGAGGCAGGAGAATTGCCTGAACCCAGGAGGCGGAGGTTGCGGTGAGCCGAGATCGCGCCATTGCACTCCAGCCTGGGTAACAAGAGCGAAACTCTGTCTCAAAAAAAAAAAAAAAAAAAAAAAAAAAAAAAAAGAATGAGCAGAGATTAGATAAAGTTGATGACTGCACAACACTGTGAATAAGCTAAGTGCGCCTGAACTGTGTATTTTGAAATGGCCGAAACGGCCAGGCGAGGTGGCTCATGGCTCACGCCTGCAATCCCGGGGCTTTGGGAGGCTGAGGGAGGAGGGTCTCTTGAGCCCAGAAGTTCAAGGCTGCAGTGAGCTATGACTGGGCCACTGCACTGCAGCCTGGGCAGCAGAGGGAGACCCCGTCTGTCACACATAAAACGGCTGTCATGGCAAGGTTTATGTTGCCCGTTTTACACAATAAACAAAGCAAAGCCAGTCTGCTGGGGAAGGACTTGAACCCCCGTGTGGACCCAAGTTGAAGGAAGAACTGAACAGCCATAACTGTCTCGAGCCCCAAGTCCACCACGTGTGCTGAGCCCACAATACACAAGTTCAGGTGGAAGGCAGGATGGAGACGCCTGCCCTGCCGCTGGCTGGCTCTGTGCACCGCAGGAGGCTGGACCCCAGCCTCCCTCAGAAACTCTGAGGCACTGCTGGAGGTAAGAGAGCAGGCCTGGCACCCCCAGCAGGGACGTCATGGGGGGGCCACGGCTACACCTTCTGAGCCCTCCACACAACCCCAAACAACGTATGCACTCACCAGCTGCAAACACAAATTTCGTTTCTATTTATTTAAAAAGTCCGGATCCAGCAGTGGGAAGGGACCGCACCCAGGAGGGTCCCAAGGCCGGAGGAGGGCAGGATGGGCAAGACCACCCCCGCATCTGGAGGGCAGGCATTTGAGGACCCATCCCAGGTAAGTCCCCACAGGGCAGCTGCCTGTGTGGCCCAGGGCACACACCTGGGTAATCTGGGGGGTCCTGCCGTGTGCTGGGGGTGGTCGTCTGTCCTGGTCCCGGGGATAACGGGGGAGCCGCATGGTGCACGGCTATCCTCCGAGGAGGGGTGCCCGCGGTTGTGCGGTCGCGGCGAGTGTTTCTTCTGGGTTCAGGGGGCTGGGGTGATTGAAAGCTAAAGGGATGCTGCAGAAATTTAATTTTAGGGGGGCTGGAGCCCCCAAGGTGCAGGATGGGACCAGGCCCCAAAGGGTGGACCCTCAGCCTCTCGTCCACGGGGCGGGGCCACGCCCACAGCTTCTCCTCTGCATCGTGGGCCCGCCCACTCCTCACAGGTGCTCGCTGAAACGAGACAGAAGGGTCCGGGATGAGGACCGTACCATCTCTGGCCCCCGCCAGACCCAGAGGAACCCCAGAGGCCAGGCATCAGCTACTCCGACAGATGTCAGGGTTCGGGGGGCCGGCGTGGGTCCCACCTAATCCAGGCACGACGATCCGCCCTGAGAAGCTTTGGGGAAATCCTGGCGCCCCCGGCCGAGCGAGCCTGGTCCCGCCCCGCCCCGCCGGGCACACACCTGGCGACCTGGGCCAGGATTTCCTTGATGCGGATGATAAGCTTCTCGTGCTGTGCGGGATCGCGCTCGATGGCGCCGTGCAGCCGGGCCATGTAGAAGTCCAGGGTGCCTAGCGTGGGCGTCTCGCCGGTGCCTGGGGGACACGTAAGGTGAGTCAGGCGAGGGTTCCGGGGAGTCGCAGGGCGGGGACTCCAAGGCAAGGGGCAGAGAGGTGGGGGGTGTACTGCCAGGGCGGGTCTCGCGGAGGGCGCGGGGACGCGAGTCGGTGGGTTCCCCGGCGCTCAGAGGTTGCGACCCTGGCCAGCGCGGGCGGGGCGCACGGTGGGGTAGGGTCAGCCGAGGCAGGAGGCGGCCGGCGAGGACGGGGCGGGGCGGGGCCGCGGGTCTCGAGCGGCGGGGGTCCCGGGTCAGCCAAGGACCATCGCAGACAGAGGGAGCGGGGTCGGGGAGGCGGCGGGATGACACCGGGGAGCTGGGGTCTGGCGGGGCGTGGGGTCAGTGCTCAAGGCCGGTCGGGGGCTGGCGAGGGAGAGGGGCCGGTAGGGAGGGGTGCCTGGAGCGTCGGAGGTGGGGGCACGATGGGGCTGTGGGAGGAAGAGCGGTCAGCGGGGACCAGGCGGGAGGTCGTGGCCGGGAAGTGCGGTCCGTGTGGGCGAGGTCAGGGACGGAGACGAGCAACGGGTCGCGGAGCGGAGCAATGGGCTGGGGATGGGGGGTTCGGGCGGGGACGGAGCTCGGGGGTGTGCGGTGAAGGCGGGGCGATGGGCGGGGCCGGGGGGGTCCGGGTGAGCGGGGCGGGGCCATGGGCGGGGTCCGCACCCGGCACCGGCAGCGAGGCGAAGCTGGCGGTGAGCGCCTGGCGCACGGCCTGGAGCTGCTGCTGCAACGCCAGCGTCCGCCGCTCCTCCAGCGCCAGCTCCTGCTCCAGACGCTCGCGCGCGCTGCTCATACTCTGCGTGTGTCTCTGCAGCACCGCGTTCTGCTCCTCGAAGGCGACGTTCATCTTCCGCAAGCGCCGCAGCTCTGCCTCGCGGGCTGGGCGGGAGTGAGCAGGGTCAGCGCCCTCGCCTCCCCACTCCCCCCATCCCGCGGCTTTAGCCCGGGACGCGTCCCTGCCAGAGTTGTCACTGCGCCCTCTGCCTCCCGCTCCACATCAGTTCCTGGGGCGACGACGGGTGCCTGGGCGTTCAGAGGGAACCTCCCGATCCGCCCCCTCCCGCCTTGGGGCCCTCCTGGCCCACACTCCCCTCCACCACCCACTTCCACGGAGTTCGCATCAGGACCGCAGTTGACAGTCACCTTTGTTTTGGTCCAAGAACTCTTCAGTGAAGATGGGAACGTCGAAAGTGGAGAAGCCGTCGCAGTCCCCACCCTAAGACGAAGGGACAAGGTGGAAATTTGCCGGTGGTAGGGGGCAGCCACGTTCTTTCTGGGTGTGCCCCAAACCTAGGAGGGTCTCCTGGGGCACCCTGGGTGTGAGTACAATCAACAGCGTCCCCACAGGGCAATGGCACCAACCCTGCTTGCATACATCTGGGCAAGGGGCAATGGCTTCCTCCTCGAAACGGCGGTTTAGAAAACTCCAGACCTTTCTACCGAAGGTGCTTTGCTAGGAGGGTCGCTTACCTTGTGTCCATTCAGGAGGGTGTTCATGAGCCCTGGGCCCGAGTCTTCTGGTGGGGGAGGGGAGGGGAAGGGTCAGCCTCCCAGGTGTCCAGGGACTACACCCTGCACCCAACGTCAGCCCTACTCACAGGCTGCAGCTCCGCACCTGAGTCCCCCCGCATCTGGGCATCCCACCTTCACTCCTGTCCCGGCCATGTATCTCTCCGCTGCCCAGCCCATGGCACTGTGCCTCATGTAGCAGAGGCCTTACCTGGGCTGCAGTCGCACCCCATTGGAGCAGGACCCCAACTGCTCCCGCTGGCCCCTCCCACCATTTTTCTTTTTGAGACTAAGTCTTGCCCTGTCACCCACGCTGGAGTGCAGTGGTGCGATCTCGGCTCACCGCAACCTCCGCCTCCTGGGTTAAAGCGATTCTCCTGCCTCAGCCTCCCGAGTAGCTGGGACTGCAGGCATGTGCCAACATACCCATCTAATTTTCGTATTTTTAGTAGAAAGGGGGTTTCACCATGTTAGCGAGACTCGTCTCGAACTCTTGACCTCAGGTGGTCCACCTGCCTCGACCTCCCAAAGTGCTGGGATTACAGGCTGAGCCGCTGCGCCTGACTTCTCCCACCTTTTTTGATCTTCTTCTCCTGCATCTTCTCCGTGCACATCTTGTAGGCTTCCGACTGCTGGTATGCCCGAAGCTCCTTCATGTACTGCTGCTTCTCTCTCTCCGCCTCGTCCAGGTACCGCTGGAGGGCAGCACCAGAAGACTTGACCCACCCAGAGGCAGGGGAAGCCTCCAACGTCAGGACCCAGACTCCATCCCTCAGCTTTCACTGCAACCTCCCCTCTCCTGAACCTTCAATAGCTCCCTATTCCCTTCAGACAGACAACCAGCTCCTCAGCCTGTTGCTCAGGGACCTCCGAGCTCCCACATCACTTCCCATGCCCCTGACTCGTCGGGCCCTGACAAGCCACTCCCAGATGCCAGTCATGGGCAGGCACCCACCTCCAGGGTATGCAAATGCCTGGACTCCCTCCTACACCCGTTTCTCTTTTCGAAATCTGACTTACAAGGGTGCATATCGGTGGTGGTTTTGGTACATTTACTTAACGTTTTTGCAATTTTTAAACTAACAGGATATGAAAATCCAGTTTCGCAAAAAATCCAGGCCACACCCGACTCCTTAGACATACCCTTATTGGCCCTCCAGTTTTCAATCTGTCTGGCCTCTTGCTAGCCCCGCCCCCAAAAGCTGGTTGCGGGCCAGGCATGGTGGCTCACGCCTGTAATCCCAGCACTCTGGGAGATGGAGGCTGTTGGATCATTGCAGGTCAGAAGTTTGAGACCAGCTTGGCCAACATGGAGAAACCCTGTTTCTACTAAAAATACAAAAATTAGCCGGGCGCGGTGGCTCAAGCCTGTAATCCCAGCACTTTGGGAGGCCGAGGCGGGTGGATCACGAAGTCGAGAGTTCGAGATCATCCTGGTCGACATGGTGAAACCCCGTCTCTACTAAAAATACAAAAATTAGCTGGGCATGGTGGCGCCTGCTTGTAATCCCAGCTACTCAGGAGGCTGAGGCAGGAGAATTGCCTGAACCCAGGAGGCGGAGGTTGCGGTGAGCCGAGATCGCGCCATTGCACTCCAGCCTGGGTAACAAGAGCGAAACTCCGTCTCAAAAAAAAAAAAAAAAAAAATACAAAAATTAGCCGGGCATGGTGGTGGGTGCCTCCAATTCCAGCTACTTGGGAGGCTGAGACAGGACAATTGCTTAAACCTGGGAGTCGGAGATTGCAGTGAACAAATATCTCACCACTGCACTCCAGACTGGAAAAGAGAACAAGACTCCATCTCAAAAAACGGCAACAAAACCCACCAAAAAAACCTAGTCATGGGTGGACATTTCTCCAACCAGAAGGAAAAACCCTGCACGTGGAATCCTTTGGGGGTCAGGGCTACTGGGGGGTGGTCCGTGGACCCGTCGGCACTGTTCGGAGACCCGCCGTCCCTCCCACCTGCTTCTCTGTTGGCTGCAGCTTGCTCCACTCGGCGCCCAGCATCTTGGTGATCTCGGGAAAGGGCAGGTCCGGGTGGCGCGTGCGGATCTGCTCGCGCCGCTCGTTCAGGAAGCGCACGTAGCCTGTGACCGGTGCCTTGGGCCCATTCGGCAGAATCTTCTTCCGCTTCTTACCCTTGGGCCAGCCGCGTTTCTTCACCGGCTGCAGAACCGGGCTGCGTCGTTGGGAGGGGGGCCTGGCGGCCTGGGGCGGGGCTCAGAGGGGCATGGGCGGGGCCTAATGCTGTATGGGCGGGGCTAGGGGCGGGGCCTAGCTGGGGGAAAGAACCCGGAAGATCTGGAGGTAGGGCCGGGTTAGAAGTCAGGACACGGAGGGTTAGAGGGGTCCCTGGCCAGGGGTGAGGGGATCTGAAGGACTAGGGGCCGAGGTTTGAGCCCAGGGGTAGCGTTGACCGGTTGTGGGCGTGGCCTATTCTCGGTGGGCGTGGCTCCTTGCTGGAGGAAGGGCCCACAGGACCATAGGGGAAGGTGCAGCCCCCAAGGAGTGGAAGTAGGCGGGGCCTTAGCGTGGGCAGAGCTGGCATTGGGCGGCGAGCGGAGCCTGGATTTAGGGTGGCAGAGGATGTCAGGGGCGTGGCAGCTCGCACGGGGCGGGGTCTCAGCTTCCGGAGGAAAATCTGGGCTGTGGGCGGAGCCACAAGCAATTCAAATCTAGCTTGGGGCGGGGCTTCAAGGCTGGGGCGGGAGCCCGGGGCCTCCCCAAGCTCAGCGCAGGGACTCTCACCTCCTCCTCGTGGGACCCCTTCTCGCCGGCGCGTGGACCCTCGCCGCGTTCTTGCTTGACAGCCACCACGAAGCCCCCATGCTGGCCCGGAGCCTTGCCGCCCGTCGGCCTGGAGCCAAGGATACCAGGGTCAGCCTCGTCCCCAGAGCCTCCCCTCCCCCAACAACCACCCCAGGGCTTTTAGACCCCCGACGGCGGCGCTGCAGCGAGGGTGCCTGAGCCCGAGGAGGCGGGGTCTGATGGGGTCAGGATCCGGGGAAGGTGGGACAAGCGGGGCTCCTGGGAGGGACTGGAGGCCGCAGTGGGGGGTGCAGGACTGGCTGGAGGGAGAAGCCCCGTGACCCAGGTCGGGGAGTCAAGACACCGGTCGGCGGGACTGGGGCGGGGGTTCCAGAGCTAGAGCTGCAGCCGGGAAGGTGGCGCGGGCGTGGGGAGAGGGTCGGCGCACTCACGCGGCGGCCGCGCCGGGCTGCTTGGGGCCGTGGGACATGGCCGCTCCGGGCCGGACCTGGAACACGGACGCGGGTGGAGGTGAAAGGCGCCCGGGCCGCCCGATGGCGGACCGCGAACTGGGGTACCCCGCGATGGAGAGCCCCGGGATGCCGGGCCCGAAGCGCTGGGGGGGCCGGATCCGGGGGCGGGGAAGTCCTCGAGGGCGGGCGCCCCAAGAATCCTTTGTTGGGCAATCGCCCCCCGGGAGGCCTGGGTCGCTTCCCCCCCGCCCAGGAAAGACCCCGGCCCGGCCCGGGAACCCCCGCACCCCTGCCCCCTCTCAGGGCCTGGAGTTCCGCGGCTGTTTTCACCTCCAAAGAAACTTTCCTGGACCTCCCGACTGCGCGACGCTCCAACCAACCGCCCGCAGCCCGTCCCCCGCCCCCGCCGGCCGCCCCGCCCCGCCCCGCCCCGCCCCGCCCCCGGCATGCTAATGTGGCCTCGGCGAACGGTCCCATTGGGTGCGGTCTTACCCCGGGGCGTGGCCATGCAGATACAGATCGGCGCGCTGATTGACGATTGGCTCGGGAGGCTGCTGAGCCGCGTGGGAGGTTGGTAGGGAAGGCGGCGGGCGGTGCGTCAAGTTCGGCTGCGCTCGGCCGCGCTCGGGACCAATCGGAAGCGCGTGGCGGACTTGCCGGGCTGAGCCACTTAAAGGGCCAGTAGGCTCGGGGCGGACTCCTCCGAGCTGAAGGCGAGACTTGAAGCCGCTGCCGGATGGGGCGACCGGCGGATCCGGGTCGGACCCCGCCCCGGTTGCCATGGGGACGGACGGAGGCGGGTTGCTAGGGTTAAGGTCCTGCGGGGCAGCCCCCAGCCCTAGGACCAGGTCGGTTGTGTTCTTAGCTTCCTGCAAAACCTAGCTGGGAAATTTCCTATTGATTTACTCAGTTTAGAGCCCCCGATGTCCGCATCCCGGGGCTTCTGGCCGCAGGGGCGGCTCTCTCTCTGGGACCCCGGCTTTCCCTCCCGTGCTACGGGAACATCGTGTGCTGCGAGGCTGAGAATGGGGTGTGGGTCAGGCAGGGGGTGGGGTCGGGAGCTGGGCTGCAGGTGTTTGGGGGAAGATAGTGGGTGAAGGGAGGTTGCAAGGGCCTGGTGAGGATGGGGCTCGGAGGCTCCCCCCTGGGGGATCAGGGACCTCCCAGCAGGAGCCTGGTCTTCTGGCCCTAGGTGGGGCTGGCTCTGCTCCGAGGGCACTCCTGAGGTCACGGCCTGCAGACCACGGCCCACGTCATGTCCGTGCCCTCCTCTTCCTCTTTTTTTTTTTTTTTTTTTTTTTTTTTGGAGACGGAGTCTCGCTCTGTCCCCAGGGTGGAGAGCAGTGGCTTGATCTCGGCTCACTGCAACCTCAGCCTCCTGGGTTCAAGAGATTCTCCTGGCCGGGCTTGGTGGCTCAAGCCTGTAATCCCAACACTTTGGGAGGCCGAGGCGGGTGGCTCACGAGGTCAAGAGATCGAGACCATCCTGGTCAACATGGTGAAACCCCGTCTCTACTAAAAATACAAAAAATTAGCTGGGCATGGTGGTGTGTGCCTGTAATCCCAGCTACTCAGGAGGCTGAGGCAGGAGAATTGCCTGAACCCAGGAGGCGGAGGTTGCGGTGAGCCGAGATCACGCCATTGCACTCCAGCCTGGGCAACAGAGCGAAACTCCGTCTCAAAAAAAAAAAAAAAAGAATATTATCGGCCGTTAAAAAAAAAAAAGGAATGAGTCTCTAACACAGGCCACAGCATGGATGTACCTTGAAGGTATCACATTTAATGAGAGAACCCAGATCTGAAAGGCCACACAGTGTATGATCCCAATTTTTTTTTGAGACGGTGTCTCACTCTGTCACCAGGCTAGAATGCAATCTCTGTCTCCAGGTTGAAGTGATTACCCTGCCTCAGCCTCCCAAAGTAGCTGGGACTACAGGCGTGCACCACCACGCTCTGCTAATTTTTTGTATTTTTAGTAGAGATGGTGTTTCACTGGGCAGGATGGTCTCCATGTGACCTCATGATCTGCCCACCTTGGCTTCTCAAAGTGCTGGGATTATAGGCATGAGCCACTGCAACTGACTATGTGATCCCATTTCTATGAAATGTTCAGGACAGCCCCAGCCACAGAGACAAGAGGGGGATGCAGGGGTGCCAGTGGGTGGGGCATGACAGCTGATAGGAAGGAGGCTTTCATTTGGGTAATGAAATTATTTTACCATTAGATTTTTCAGTGATGGCTGTGTGATTCTGGAAATATAATACAAACCACGGAGTTGTGCGCTCTAAATGGGTGCATTATATGTGAGTTAAGTCTCAATAAGCCCCTTGTCCTAAGATGCAGCCTGGGGCTGAGGATGGGGAGCTGGCCCTGGAATCTGGGCGGTTCCACACTCCAGAGCTGAGTCTGTTGCTTAATCAGTGGCCTGACCTCCCAGCCCTCCCCCTGTCCCTCTGCTCACTTACAAATGGTTTATGTGAGGCGGCCGGGCGCGGTGGCTCAAGCCTATAGTAGTAGCACTTTGGGAGGCAGAGACCGGGCGGATCCCGGGATCAAGAGATCGAGAGCATCCTGGCCCACATGGTGAAACCCCGTCTCTACTAAAAATACAAAAATTAGCTGGGCGTGGTCGCACGCGCCTGTACACCTAGCTACCCAGGAGGCTGAGGCAGGAGAACTGCTTGAACCTGGGAGGCGGAGGTTGCAGTGAGCCAAGATCGTGCCACTGCACTCCAGCCTGGTGCCAGGTGCGGTGGCACACACCTGTAATCCCAGCACTTTGGGAGGCTGAGGCAGGTGGATCACGAGGTCAGGATTTCAAGACCAGACTGGTCAACGTGGTGAAACCCTGTCTCTACTAAAAAATATAAAAGTTAGCTGGTCATGGTGGCACGTGCCTGCAATCCCAGCTACTAGGGAGGTTGAGGCAGGAGAATTGCTTGAAGCGGGACCTGGGAGGCGGAGGTTGCGGTGAGCCGAGATCGTGCCACTGCACTCCAGCATGGGCTATAGAGCGAGAGACACTGTCTGAAAAAATTAAGTCTAGGTGAGAATAAGACCTGCACAACAGGGTGACCACGGTCATTAACAGTTTTTCTTTTTTTGAGACGGAGTGTTGATCTGTCACCCAGGCTGGAGTGCAGTGGCGCGATCTCAGCTCACTGCAACCTCCACCTCTCAGATTCAAGCGATTCTCCAGCTTCAGCCTCCTGCGTAGCTTGTATTACAGGCACCCACGACCAGGCCCAGCTAATTTTGGTATTTTTAGTAGGGACGGCGTTTCACCATGTTGGCCAGGCTGTTCTCAAACACCTGACCTCAGGCAGTCTGTCCGCCTTGGACTTCCAAAGTGCTGGGGTTACAGGTGTGAGCCACCGTGTCCAGCCAATAACAATTTTTTTTTCCTTTTTTTTTGGAGACAGGGTCTCTCTCTGTCACCCACACTAGAGTGCAGTGGTGCAATCTGAGCTCACTGAAACTTCCACCTCCTGGGCTCAAACCAGCCTCCCACCTCAGCCTCCTGAGTAGCTGGGACTACAGATGTGCACCCCCATCCCAGCTAATTTTCATATTTTTTGGTAAAGATGGGGTTTCACCATGTTGCCCAGGCGAGTCTCAAACTCCTGGCCTCAAGCAGTCCTCCCACCTCGGCCTCCCAAAGTGCTAGGATTATAGGCATGAGCTACCCTGTCCAGCCATAGTCAATAAAAATTTAATTGTAGTTTTTTTTTTTTTTTTTTTTTTTTTTTGAGACGGAGTTTCGCTCTTGTTACCCAGGCTGGAGTGCAATGGCACGATCTCGGCTCACCGCAACCTCTGCCTCCTGGGTTCAGGCAATTCTCCTGCCTCAGCCTCCTGAGTAGCTGGGATTACAGGCACGCGCCACCATGCCCAGCTAATTTTTTTTTGTATTTTTTGTAGAGACGGGGTTTCACCATGTTGACCAGGATGGTCTCGATCTCTTGACCTTCGTGATCCACCCGCCTCAGCCTCCCAAAGTGCTGGGATTACAGGCGTGAGCCACCGCACCCGGCTTTAATTGTAGTTTTATTTTATTTTATTTTATTTTATGTTGAGATGGAGTCTTGTTCTGTTGCCCAGGCTGGAGTGCGGTGACATGATCTTGGCTCACTGCAACCTCCGCTTCCCAGGTTCAAGTGATTCTCCTGTCTCAGCCCCCCAGTAGCTGGGATTACAGGTACGCACCACCACACATGGCTAATTTTTTTTATTTTTTTATTTTTTTATTTTTTTATTTTTATTATTTATTTATTTATTTATTTTTAATTTACTAGTGGAGACGGGGTTTCTCCACGTTGGTCAGGCTGGTCTTAAACTCCCAACCTCAGGTGATTCACCTGCCTCAGCCTCCCAAAGTGCTGCGATTACAGGCGTGAGCCCCTGTGCCCAGCCCTCTATTAGTTTTTTGTTTTTTTTTTTTTTTTGAGACGGAGTTTCGCTCTTGTTACCCAGGCTGGAGTGCAATGGCGCGATCTCGGCTCACCGCAACCTCCGCCTCCTGGGTTCAGGCAATTCTCCTGCCTCAGCCTCCCGAGTAGCTGGGATTACAGGCACGCACCACCATGCCCAGCTAATTTTTTTTGTATTTTTAGTAGAGACGGGGTTTCACCTTGTTGACCGGGATGGTCTTGATCTCTCGACCTCGTGATCCACTCGTCTCGGCCTCCCAAAGTGCTGGGATTACAGGCTTGAGCCACCGCGCCCGGCCTATTAGTTAGTTTTAAATGTACAATTAAATTCATCCGGGCATGGTGGCTTGCACCTGTAATCCCAGCACTTTGGGAGGCCGAGGCAGGAGGATCACTTTGAGGCTGGGAGTTCCAGACCAGCCTCGGCCACATAGCGAGATTCTCATCTCTACAAATAATTTTTTTTCTTTTTTTTTTTGAGACAGAGTTTCGCTCTTGTTACCCAGGCTGGAGTGCAATGGCGCGATCTCGGCTCACCACAACCTCCGCCTCCTGGGTTCAGGCAATTCTCCTGCCTCAGCCTCCCGAGTAGCTGGGATTACAGGCACGCACCACCAGGCCCAGCTAATTTTTTTTGTATTTTTAGTAGAGACGGGGTTTCACCATGTTGACCAGGATGGTCTCGATCTCTTGACCTCATGATCCACCCGCCTCGGCCTCCCAAAGTTCTGGGATTACAGGCATGAGTCACCGCACCCGACCCCAAATAATTTTTTAAATTAGCTGGGCATGGTGGCCTGTGCCTCTAATGTCAGCACTCTAGGAGGCCGAGGCCAGTGGATCAGGAGGTCAGGAGTTAAAGACCAGCCTGGCCAAGATGGTGAAACCCCGTTTCTTCGAAAAATACAAAAATAAGCAGGGCCTGGTGACAAGTGCCTGCCATCCCAGCTGCTCAGGAGGCTGAGGCAGA